CGATCCAGTTTCAGGGGTCCAGTTGGAGATGTAAACTGGAGGTTAGGAGAGAAGTGAGAACTGGCTACATAGATCTGAGAATCGTCTCAAGGAAGGCAATTAGGTCACCAAATAAAATAATACAGAGAGAGGAGACTCGACATGACAGAGCCATAGGCGACACCCACTTACCAAGAGTGTCTTCCCCTAAGATTATCTCCAATTTCTGCTGAGCTTATTATCTTATACTATATGATATAATTATGTTATATAATTATACTATATTATGTAACATAGTATAATTATAATATATTGTGTAAAACATAGCAAGTATGTTTTATTTGTACATAGTTGTTTATATATTGTCTCCCCCATGAGACTGTGAGTTCCATCAGAGCAGGGACTGGTTTTGCCTTTCTAGGTATTCTCATCACGTAGCCTGTGACTGGAACATAGTAGGTACTTAATAAATACTAATGGACTTGACTCATTTTTTTTTAAAAAAAAGCCTTTTATCAAGCACCTGCTACTACCAGGCATTGTGCTAAGTGCTGGGGATACAAAAAAAGGCAAAAGACAGTCCCTGCTCTCAAAGAGCTTCCCATGTAATGATTAGTGATTGTGACCTAAATGAAGATCCAGCAAAGGAGGTGGAGAAAGGAGCAGTTGGTCAGGGAGGAGAGAAAACAGGAAAGAGCACTGTAAAAAAACCCAAAAACCACACACACACAAGAGAGGAGAAAGCACCCAGGACAGCCAGAGGGTGATGGGCAGTGTCGAAGGCCTCAGGAAGGATGAGGAATGAGAAGAAATCATTAGATTTGTCGACTAGAAGAGGAAGGGAGAGATAGGAGAGCTATTGGGAGCAGCCCAGATTTGGCAAATGAGGGTGAGCCTGCAGCAGCATCAATTTTAAAAAGAAGTGGCAGGAGTTACAGAGGTCACCTAGTCTCGCTCCCCCCATTTACAGATGAGGAAGCTGAGGCCCACAAAGGTTATGAACGCTAGTCAGAATGCCAGGGTGCTCCTTTCCACATCGCCTTCCGTGGGCACATTGGACCTCGTGTAGCTATTCAGGGTGCAATCTCAGCACCTGCCACCAGATGGCGATGCAAGCTTCAAGTTCCCCCCCCCCCCATCCTATTGTGCCTTTCCTGGCTTCTAACAAGGGTATAAATAGAGTCCCACAGTGATTCATAATTGATTGAATGCGCTTCACTCGCGCCCTCATTCCCGTTATGATTTTAGTCTCCTTCAGTGGGGCTCCTTACATTCATTATCTCAATGGCGCTAACCTGGAAGGAGCGCTCCCTGTGAATTCCCAAAGGAAGGCTTTGGGCGTTGACTTCGGAGCTTCCATCCACTGCTCCTGGCAAGGTCCGAAATCCCAGTGCCCCCCCCCCCCCCGCTTCTGTGCACCTCGCTCTGCCGCAGGGCTCCCCACAGGCTGAGGATCACCCCTGGAGCCTTCTGGGGCTCAGACATCCAACTTCAGGCCAGCTGCAAATGCCTCCCACCGACTCCCTCTCGGTATTTTCCATCCTCCCCAGCTCTGGGGAAAGCATCTGCCTTCTGGCTTGTCACCAGGTGAGTCCTTAGGATGCGCTGCCTGGTCCCCAGTGTGGCTGGTCATCACCAGCTGAGGCCACTGAGCCTCAGGAAGGGTCCCCCAGTGCAGCTGAATGACCTGCAGCTGTGAGCTCACTGTCTACACTGCCTTTCCCTCAGGTATGTTTCCTGGTTTTGCTTGGTTTCCCTGCAATTTGACATGAAATGACCTTACCCAAATGACCTTCATGTTCAAAGTACCTGGCAACTCTTCTCCCAGGCCTGCTTTTCCTGTTCTTGCCTGTCACTTACAAGATTCCAGAAATTATACGGGGGAAAAGGATTAGGGATTGGACCTATGATTTCACCAGCATAGGGAACTCCCAGAGGAGGAAAGTTCTACTGGCACCAGTTAGCACCTTTTCCCCAACCGGTAGTGTTAAAGCTCTGAGGGGTGAATGACTTACCCAGAGTCATACGGCCGGTATGTGCCAGAAGTAGCAACTATTTCTTGGAGATACATCTGTTGTGTTTACACACACAACACACACTGTATGTGTATTTGTATATATAGACATCTCTCGGTCTCTTTTTTTAAAGAGACCATTCTTTGCTTCATTTCTTATTAATCCTTAATCACTGGCTTTGTCGCAGTCAAACTGAGACCTGTTAAGGACCTTAGCTTGAAAAGGCCAAGGTCTCCCACTGTATCCTGGGCCATCTCTGATCATCCCAATAGATGTCTGGCCACTGGACCCAGCTGGCTCTGGAGGAGAAAGTGAGGCTGGTGACCTAGCATGGCCCTGCTTCACTTAAACCCAATTCACTTGCAAGTCATGGCATCACCTTCTTGGTGTCACGGTCCTCTTTGAGAACGGAGGACAAAGAGTCGAAGCAGCATATATAAACACATATACCTGTGTATATATACATATCTCTACATGTACACACCTCTATATATACATACACATACATATATACTTGTACATACACACATATGCACATGTACATATATATGTATACTATATATAGTACATACATAGTATATCTAAATACAGATATAGTACCAAGATGCATTATGTAGCCAGCTAGGTGGCACAGTGGGTAGAGTGCTGGACCTGGAGTTAGGAAGTTGCTGTTCAGTCATTTTTTTCAGTCGTGTTGGACTCTTCACAACCTCATTTAGTGTTTTCTTGGCAGAGACACTGGAGGGGTTTGCTATTTCCTTCTCCAGCTCATTTTACAGATTAGGAAACTGAGGCAAACAGGATAAAGTGACTTGCCCAGAATCACACAGCTAGGAAATATCAGAGGCCAGAGTTGAACTCAGGTCTTCCTGACTCCAGGCCTGGTGCTCTAAAAACTGTAGCTCTACTCTCAAAGGCCAGGGCTGGCTCTCTCTGGAGTCCATAGCTGGCTCTCTTCTCTGCTGTCAGGGGTTGTGCTCCTAGATGTTGCTTCCAGGTTGGAATAAGTGTCTCTCTGGATCTATGTATGGCTGAAGTATGTCTTTGCTCCCTCAACTGTGCCTTCAACTCTCTTGAACTGATTCTCTGACTACAGGTAAGAGTGTCTCTTTCTGGACATAAGTAGTTCAGCTGCTACACACCAAGGCATATGGTGGTGGGGAGGAGGAGAGGAGAGGGGAGAAAGAGAGAGAGACAGACAGACAGACTGACCGACAGAGACAGAGAGAGAGAGAGACAGAGACAGAGAGACAGAGAGAGAGAGAGAGATCCCCTCCACAAGTAGCTGATTAATAAGATACATCACAAAAAGTATTTAACGATCTCAAATCTTCTGTCTCCTTCCAGGCCCAAGCTAAACATTTATTAGGTATGTGCTATGTGCAAGGCACTGAGGTGCTACGGAGCACAAAGACAAAAATGAAATACTGCCTGCCCTCAGCAAGCTTACGTCCTCCTGGGGGACAGAGCAGGTACACAGAGCAGTAGATATCAGGTCATCTGGGTTTAAGGGAGAGAGAGAACTTTGACCCCGGGAAGATCAGAAAAGGCTTGGGAAATAGGGATTCCAAGAGGCAGAGATAAGGAAGGAGCACATTTTGGGGACGGGAGATAGCCTATACAAAAGGGACGGCAGTGGGAAATGAATGTTCAGGAAACAGCACAGCCAAGCCTGGGCCTCAGCTTCATGCCCTAAGGTAAGTTGTGGGCACCATTGAGGTCAAATGTACATGGTGACCTCATTGAACCAGCCCAAAGCTTCCCCTCAGAGGAGAGCTAGTGGTGAGTGGAGGGCCAGAAATGGCAGCCAGTGTCGTTGCTCTTGACTTCTCACAGAACACCAGAAGACTTCAAGAAGCCTAATAATGGCTGATATTAGCTAGTATTTACCTAGTATTTTAAAGTTTGCAAAGTGCTGCCTTGGGATAGGAATACAGTGTTTGCCCAAGGAAGCCTAGCTTCCATGAGTGCAGGAAGAATGGAAGAAGTCTAGAGCGAAGGGGCATCTGGCAAGGCTGGAGAAGAAGTAAGGGAAGTCTGACCCGGACGGAAGGGCTCTCTTCACCCAGAGCTCCAGCAGCAGAGCTGACAGACCCAAGGTGCTGTAATTCCACATTCAGATCTCTTCACCCACACGGGCTAAAGGAAAAGGGAGTGAGGGATAAAGCCGTGCTGGACCTTCTGGTGTCTCCCTACCCAGACCCCCAGCCCCAAATGCTAGTACCCTGTCTCCCAAACTATCTTGTATTCAACTGCTTTGAGGCAGCTGGTGTGCAGGCAGGAAGGCCAGATGGCAAATCGTGCCTCAGACATTGACATAGCTGTGTGACCCTGGGCAATTCACTTGACCTTTGCCTCAGTTCCCTCATCTGTAAAATGGGGATAATAATAGCATCTACTTCCCAGGATGGCTGTGAAGATCAAATTAGATAACATTTGCTTAGCACAGTGCCTGGCACATAGTAAGAGTTGTCTGTTGTTCAGTTGTTTCAGTTATGCCCTACTCTCTGGGACCCCATTTGGGGTTTTCTTGGCAGAGACACTGGAGTGGTTTGCCATTTCCTTCCCCAGCTGATTTTATGGATGAGGAAACTGAGGCAGACATGGTGAAGTGACTTGCCCAGGGTCACACAGCTAATAAGTGTCTGAGGCAAGATTTGAACTCATGAAGATGAGTCTTCCTGATTCCAGCACCAGCACTGTATGCACTATGGTGCCCCATAGCTATAGAAATGTTAGCTATGATGATGATGATAATCACTCCCAATAGGTGTTTACTAAGAATGAGTTGAGTGAAGACCCATCCCATGACAGGCTTCCAAGAGTTACCAAAAAACATTCAGAGAAGGTGCTGCAGAAATGCCCCAAGAAGGAGAAGTAGGCGGCAAGGCCATGGGTGGCCCTGTTCTAGCAAAAAGGGCCACAGGATTTCCAAGCCCAAGGTCACATCTTCTCTCCCTCTGAACCCTCTGAACTGGACTTGGGCAACATCCATGAGACAACACGTAGAAAAAGGAAATTTATTGAAAAAAAAAAGGTAGGGGAGGTGTCAGGGGATAGGGCGGGGAGGTATAAGCCAGGACCCAGGTACTCATGCCTCTGGGCCTCACAGTTCCTTTGGGGGAAGAGGAAAAGGATTGCTGTGGAGCCAGGGCTGAGGTGGAGGGCATGTATCTGGAGTGGTATCTGTCTGTCCCTCTGCCCATCTCTCCATCCAGTCATGCGTCCCGTGCGTTTGAGCAGAGGAGTGAGGCAAAGCGTGTACGGGAAGGGACACTGGTGTGCTGTGTAGCGGGGTGGGGGTATACAGTAGATGGGACTGGCCTGGGGCCATGTTGAACGGGCCCAGCCCCTGATGAAAGCAAGCTCTCAGGGGCTCGGGCTCAGATTCGTCCACAAGCCCTTCTCTGGCTCAGCCAAGCCCACGGCGGGTGAGACGGCCCAGCTCAGGCCTGAGGGCGGGCAGGGACACATCGGTGAGGCTGATGAGAAGGCATGTAGCCCGGGCGGCAAATGCATCGGAACGAGCCGTCAGAGTTGAGGCACCGCCCATTGACGCACAGCGAGGTCCGGTCATCCGCCTCCTCACACTCGTTGATGTCTGAAGGAGGAGAGGCGGGATGGATTTAGTACCGGGACGTCCAGGGCTCCTCACCCAAAGAACCTGGCTCAGCTACCTCCAGGACCCAGGAGTCCGGTGCCACCACCTCCCTAAGGGAGCCAGACCTCTTGGGTGCCAAAGGTAGGGAACCCAGACAACTAAACCCTCGGGGGCCCGGCACTCCACACTGTGCCTCCTTCAGGATCTGGGGGGCAGGGCGGGAAGGGATGGTGATTCTTCCGCTCAGCGCGCTCTCCCCGCCCTCCTTTGTCCAGCTCCCCGACTCAAGCTCACCCACGCAGGCCATGCGGGCCATATCCAGCCGGTAGCCATCGAAGCAGTCACAAGTGTAGCCCTCGGGCACTCGGATGCAGCGCCCGTTGTTACAGCCGTCCAGGATGCCACACTCTTCGGCTTGCAGCCCCTCGAAGGGCTCATAGCGGGCAGCTGGAGGGAGGGGTGGGAAACATCATGGGGCCACCCCTTGACTGAGTGCCCGTCCAGGATGTGAGTGTGTGCATGGATGGGAACGAGTCCCGGCCTTGCGCACCAAACAGATGTGGTGGGAGGAGGGCAGGGGCAGGATCTAGTTGGCTGGGGGCAGTCCTCCCTTCTACTGACGAATCCTGTGACCGACTGACCCTTCACTGAGGGTCTCAGGGGGAGGTGGGTGGGCAAGGACAGGGCGTTCTTTGTGTCATGGCTGCCCCCTTGGACCAGGCCAATAAAAGGGAGGGGATAGATGTGGCCAAGATAGCAGAGATCCGACAGAGACCAGATGCTGGAGGACTCTGGTCCTTAGGGGAGGGGAAGATGAATTTACAGGAGGAGCTGAGGAGGTGGCAAGGAATGATCGGTCTGCCATAAAGTGCAGGAGTGGAAGGAGGCCCTTCCTGAGTCAGGGTGGACCAGACGCCTCCCTTGCATGGGTCAGGACCCTAGAACCCCAGAGGGAAGCCCAGAGTGATGCCGACCAGCTGCCTGAGAGAGCCCATGAGCGTGCTGGTGTCTGTACTCAGGGGGTGCTCACCAGTATAGGGGGCTCCAGCTTCCTCTTCCTCTTCCTCCTCAGGCTCTGGGAAGGAGCCACCCGTGTCCCTGGGCCGATAACGCCATCGGGCGGTAGAGTCCAGAGGTGGGCGGCCCTCAGAATCCCCATAGGCCCCAGCAGCAACGGAGTCAAAGTCAGGCACCTCAAAGGGTGGTGGGCCATAGGGGCTACCTGGGCCAGGGAAAGGCAGGGCCCCCGGAGGAGGTGGGTAAGGGTCATAGCCCAGCCCCGGGACTGGTGGGGGTGGGGGTGGGTACAGCTCTGGTCCATAGGGGAGACCTCCATAGCCTGGTCCAAAGTCTGGTCCATATTCGTAGGGGATCCCAAAGCCTCCTGGGCGGGCTGGGCCGTAGGCCGGTGGGCGAAGGACGTTGCACAGCGCCTCAAAGTCATCTAGAGGAGCAAAGGAAGGCGGTCAAAGGGCCCAGATCAGCCTTCAAGTCCTCAGCTCTTTCTGTCTACCTGGGACCTGAGAAAGAGCTGGGAATCCAGGAGCCTGAATACTAGGCCAAGGCCTATCATTTCCACTGCTTTTTAAAAAAAATAAGTTTTTATTAATATCTTTTGGTTTTTTATATCGCCATCATTTTCCCCAGCATCCCTTCCCCTCCCCTCCCCAAAAGCCATCTTATGGAATGAATAATTCTGTCACTGACTGGTGTAAACTAGGGCATCCCTTCTGAACATCAGTGCTCACATCTATAAAATGGGAGCATAAGATTAGATCTCTAAGATCTCACCTAGCTCAAAATCCTCTGATCTTATGAGCTAGGTGGGATGGTATAGACACACAGATTCTGGAGTGTCACCTCCAATATGTAATTTGCCATGTGGTCCTCCTTTGGGTGCCAAACTGTGATTACACTGGTCTAGGTACCTAACTCCCAGGTCCCTAACAGTCTCTCTCAGCCAATGCACACCCACAACGTTCTTAGACACATACCCACAATGAACTTAATCTTAAGGACTGAGGGGGGAAGTGATTGGCCCAGGGTCACCTAGCTAGGAGATATCAGAAACAGAACGTGAGCTCTCAAGTTTTCCTGCCTCGGAGCCTGGCTCTGGTGACAACATCATGTGTCTTCTCTCTGTAAGACCCTGGGAAAATCACTCCACCTGTCTGCTCCTCAGTTCACTTATCCGTGAAAATGGGGGGAATACAGATTCTATCTCACAGGGTTATTGTGAGGGTAATACATTAATGCTGATGAAATAGGAACTTTAGTATGATGAACATCGTGAAAGTCCCACTTTGGAACTCAGGTCAATGTTATTAATAATTAGCACAACCGATAATGTCATCAAGAATATATTAATGATTAATGTTATGAATTATAGCAACACATTATACTATTGTGATATAACAGCATATTGATAATGTTATTGATGATTACTAGTAATTATTAACAGGTAGCTAGGTGTTGCAGCATATAGAGCATCAGGTCTGGAGTCAGGAAGACTCATCTTCCTGAGTTCAAATCTGGCCTCAGACGATTACTAGCTGTGTGACCCTGGGCAAGGCACTTTATCCTGTTTGCCTCAGTTTCCTCATCTGTAAAATGCATTGGAGAAGAAAATGGCAAACCCCTCCAGTATCTTTTCCAAGCAAACTCCAAATGGAGTCATGAAGAATCAGACACAGCTGCAAATGGCTGAACAACTAATTATTAAATAATAAATATACAATGTAATTAATATAATAAATACATTAAATACACTAAATGACAATATAAAATATCGAAGTTAAATATCAACACCATTATTAATTATAGTAATATGTCATGCTATAATTGTATATTAATAATCAATAATACTAATGATTAATAATTGTAAATAATAATAATGAGTGGGCTCTTCCACTTAAAACCCACATGACAATTGAGCATATTTACCTATCTTCTCCTCAGTTTCCTCACATGTACATTTTGGGGGTCTCTAAAGTTCCTTCCAGATCTAAATCTGTGATTTGAATGTTGGCCTCACAGATTTCCTCTTCGGAGCCATGCCGGTAATTCCAGAAATGGCCACCAGGTGGCAGGTAGTACCCAAGGCCATAGACCAATCACCAGGCTTCTCCTTGCCTGAGTCTGGCTGACTTTCTATGATCCAGAAATGAATTCTCTGATTTTGTGCCACGCTACCAAGGGCATGGGTAAGCCCCAGGGCTTAGGGGGAAGGAGGCAGTACCTGAGTCTCGGGCTGGGCACAGAGCACAGTCCATGCTCCAAGCCTCCCCATAAAGACAGCAGCATTCAGTGTATGTGGCCTGCCGGTCTAGTCGAGGGCGGCTACACACCAGGTCTGGTCCCACCTCCTGCCAGCACACAGCCAGGTTGTCATCTGAATAGGGGTGCAGAGGGAAGGAAGGAAGGTATTTGCCTGGCACTGTTTCCTGCCTCACACCCTGGAAGCACCCTCCTACCCATTGTCAGTTCCTCTGAATGATCTGTCTCTTTTTCCTCTCTTCTCTGGCTCCTGCTCTGGTCCCCACGACCCCTTGCTCTTTGATTCTCCCAGAATGAGCTCCACACCCAAGGCCTGGGCTCCCTCCCAACCCTGGAGGCTTAGGGTGAGTGGAGGACTCTATAGGGGACAGTCTCCATTCTCCACACAGGAAATTTGTCCCTCCCTCTACCCTAGGGCAGTGGTGAGATGAGGGCTGTGGGTTACCCAGACTCTGACTGTCATTGGTCACACAACGCCGCCGGGAGCCATCCAGTACCAATGGAGGGTCACAAGTGCAATGGTAGGAGCCCACAGTGTTGACACATTGGCCTCCTTCACATGCCTCTTCTTCATCTGCACACTCATCATTGTCTGGAGAGACATGGGGGTGATGAGGAGGGAAGCCCAGAGATGTCACCTCCACATTCTAGCTCACCTCCTTTGCTCAAGCAGAAAGGATGGAGGTTAGGCCTCCCAAGAAGGACAGGGTGGTGGCATCTGACCTCAGCTTTACCCCCTGATCCCCCATTTTATCACCTCCCTTGCTGCATCAGAAGGAATAAAAGTTAGACTTCTGGATGGATTTCATGGGGAAGGTCAGCCCCAGCCCGTTCCAAAGCCCTCTCCTGCCCAATCTTCTTCTCTTCCTAGCTACTGAAGGAAGCATGAAGGCCAGACTCCTAGAAGGCTCCCCAGCATTGGGAGGGGGCATTACCTATACACTCCAGTCTCTGGGTGTGGTAGTAGTAGCCATTACTGCAGTAACAGGAGTAGCCAGGGGCTGTGTTCACGCACACCCCACTCTTGCACACCTGGTCCCCGAACAACAGACATTCATCCACATCTGTGGAAGGGAGGGTCCAAAGGCCCAAAGGTGGTCAGGGCCACCCTCCACCAATCTCATCCCACCCAACAGCCCAGAGAGAAACCAAGAAGGAAATGGGGCAGAAGCAAAGTCAGCCCTTGGCAGGAGCCAGAAGCTGGGGTAGAAGGGCCATTGGGAGAAGTGGGGAAAGTGAGAAATCAGGGTGGGAGCAGGCTCGGGGAATCGACAGGCTCCGAGCCAGCTGGGATCATGGAAGTCATCTCATCCATCCCTCTAGTTTTAGGGACAAGGAAACCGAGGCCCAAAGAGAAGTGACCTGCCCAAGGTCATTCAAATAGTAAGAAGCAGGAGGGGGATACTAACTCATCATCCATTACCCTTTTCCCTTGTGCCAAAAGACTCACCTCTCCGGACGCTGGGGTCTCCCGGGGGGGACAGGTAACCCCGGCCATGTGGGCACAGAGACTGGTATTCCGCTGGGCAAAGAGAAGGGCACGTTAGTGACTTGTGAGGTAGGACTCCATCTCCAGCCCATCTCTTTCTCACCCAGTGCCCCCTCCCACCTCCTCACTGACCTGGCCCCCCCGCCCCCATTCTCCGCCAGCCTCCTCATCCCCTGACACCTGTCTCGGGGCCTGGACACTGCTGGATGCGGCAGCCACTACCCCAGCCCTCGCCCACAGTGCAGCAGCATTCCCGCCAGGTGACATTCCTGGCCAGTATGTTGTCACAGGCGTCAGGGGCCCCTGTGTCATAATAACACTCCCTTCGCCCACTGCTAGCCCCAGGGCCGGGGCCTGGCCTTGGCGCTGTGGGCCTACGAGGAGGAGCTGGTTGAGGTGGTGGTCGGGCAGGGAGCCCTGGGCTCGAGGGCAGCTGAGGACTCAACCCTGAGAAAGGAGAAAATGGGAGGCTCTGGTTAAGGCCCCAAAACAAAAACATGCCAGGTCTACCACTGATCAGGAACCTCAGCAGGTCAGGCCCGGGTCTCAGCCTCAACTTTTTTTCTAATATAACCAGTGGCCCGCTATTCATCTTCAGGGGCACATCAGGATGTTTGTGCAGCTGGACAAGACTGGAGCCAAGGCTGTGGTAACTCACCAGATCGTGGACTTTTAGAGCCAGCAGGGCCAGCCCCTCATTTTAGAGACAGAAAGGGTCCAAGGAGGGAACAGCCACACAGCGAGCTTTCCTTTGGCCTCGAGGCCAAATGCCAATTATTTATTTTACTTGCTAAGAGCCCTAAGGGGCGACTAGGTGGCGCTATAGTGCAAGAAGACTCATCTTCAAGAGTTCAAATTCAGCCTCAGACACTGCCTAGCTGGGTGACTCTGGGCAAATCACTTCACCCTGTTTGCCTCAGTTTACTCTTCTGTAAAATAAGCTAGAGAAGGAAATGGCAAACCATTCCAGTATCTCTGCTAAGAAAACCCCAAATGGGGTCATGAAGAGTGAGACAACCGAAATGACTGAAGAAGAGGCCAGAACAAGCAGCACAGACAGCTTTGCAACCAACTGAACCCACAGGGGTCTGCTGCAAGCATCAGTTAAACAGAGAGAGAAAGGACACTCACTTGCAGGGGGTCTTGGGGGAACACAGCGCCCAGTCATGGGGTCAAATTCATCAGGGCTGGTGGGGCAAACGCAGAGGAAGGAGCCTTCTACATTCTCACACAGTGCGGCCCCACACACGCCCTGGAGGGTCTCACACTCATTCACATCTGCGGGGAGTAGGAAAGGAAGGAGTCAAGGAACCAGTCTCCCTCACACCCACCTGAATCCACTCCCCACCCCCAGCAGCCCTTAGGGCTCGTCATACCCACACAGTGGCGCCCATCCCTGGCTCCTTCATAGCCCTGGTCACAGAGACACTGGAAGGAGCCTGGCAGATTCTGACACGTGGCATGGGCCCCGCAGAAGGTGCGGTTCCGACATTCATCCACATCTGCAATCGAACCAGCAATTTTACATGGATTCCTACTCATCCACCATTCCTAGGGCTCTGGGACCAGGAGAGAAAGGACTGGCCCCGCATGGCACCTGCATCACATAGCACCATGTGCTATAATGGACGGAACACTGGACTTGGGGCAAGGAAGACCTACGTCCAGATAATGCCTGTGTCACATGTCACTTAATTTCTTTTGGCCCGAGTTTCTTCATCTGCGAAATCAGGGAATTGGCCTTAACATCCTCTAACATCAGGAAATTCTCCAGGACAGGAGAAAACCCAGGACAAAAGTGTGGAAGTCACCTGAGGACATTGGAAAATCCTACTGGGAAAGGAACTTATGACCCAGAATAAGTCTAGAGGACTAGGGGTTTGGGGGTCCCTATCCAGGCCCTACAGCAGGGAGAGGGCTGGAGGGTGCATAGACCTCCTCCTTTTCTTTTTAAACTAGTATCAAATCATTTGGCAGAGCAGTAGATACAGTGCCTGGCCTGGAGTCAGGAAGACTCATCTTTCTGAGTTCAAATCCAGCCTCAGACACTTCCTAGCTGTCTGATCCTAGGCAAGTCACTTAACCCTGTTTGCCTCAGTTTCTTCTTCTGTAAAATGAGCCGGAGAAGGAAATGGCAAACCACTCCAGTATCTCTGCCAAGAAAACCCCCAGTGGGGTCACAGAGAGCTGGACATGACTGAAAAATGACTTAATAACAACATCAAATCATTTTAATAATTACTACTTTGTAGCATAGTTTGAGACTGGTACTAATAGACCCCTTTCCTTCCCACTGTCATTTTTATTCTATTGGCCTGACCTACTCCTGAACAATAAATCTTTCTCCAGTTATTTAGGTCTATCTATTTCAGCAACAAATGTTTTATACTTAGATTCATATAGTTCCTGGATGTACCTTGGGATACAAGTATCTTTTAGCTTCTGTAATAATTTTGAATGGAATCTCTCTTTCTAGCTCTTCCTGCTGGGTTTTGTTGGTGACTGCTATGTAGAAATCTTATATCCTGCAACTTTGCCAGAGTTGTTAGTTATTTTAATTTATTTTAATTTCCTCTCTATGGTTCTCTAAGCACACCATCATATCGTCAACAAAAAGCAGTTTTGCTTTCTCTCTGCGTATTCTTATTCTGGGTGAAGCATGGGGAAACAAGGTGAGGGATGGTGGCCTCTGGGAAGACACTGAGACCAGAGCTAGTCTGGAACATAGAAGAACTTGGTCTTGGGGGAAACAGGTGTTCCTAAGCCCACAGAATTAGCTCTGGATGGAACAGTTTCATTTATGTATTTATAATTTCACCTATGTCATTTTAACCTCTGCACCCAAGCAGACTATACAGTAGGTGCTTAATAGGTGCTTGATGAATTGACTTGACCTCTGTCATCTAGTATAAATGCCTTACTTTACAGATGAGGACACTGAGGCCAAGAGTGACCAAGTAACTTGCCCAAGTTCACAGATGGTGAGAGGCTGAGTCAGGACTTGAACCCAGGTTTCCTGACTACACACCCAGTGGATACAGTCAGGGAGACCTGAGTTCCAATCCGACCTCAGATACTTACTAGCTATGAGACCCAGGGTTTCACCTTTGCCTCAGTTTCCTCAGCTGGAAGACAGGATAATAATAATGCCTGGCATACAATAGACACTAAATAATTGCTTATTTTCTTCCCTACCCCACAAAGAAGATTGCCCAGCCATTTCCCCCTTCCTGAGGCCCAAGAATTAAAACTAGAAGTGGCCTTAGAGATCCCCTAGTCTACCTTCATCGTTTGACAGATGGGCAAACAGTCTCAGAGAGTGAGGAGTTTTACCCAGCGTCTCTCATATGCTCATTCATGTCACAAACATGCATTACCCTGGCAGCCACCGCTGGGAGTGGGCTGGTAGCCCGGGTCGCAGAAGGGGACACAACGGTAGGAGCCCGGAGTGTTCTCACAACGCTGGGCCCCACACAGTGAGGGTCCGTATTCCCTGCACTCGTCTACATCTGCCAGGAAAAGAACAGAGTGCTGAAGAGAAGGCAGAGGAACGGGCGTCGGCGCGCCCCCTCGTGGCCAGCAGAGGGACCGGCGGCGCTCTGAGAGACCGAGTGCGCAGAAGCGGACCACACAAGAAGGCCACTCCTGCTCGTCCCCTTCCCGCTGGGATTCTGACCAAACCCCGCAGGCTACTGGAACCCTCCGAGACAGAACGTCAGGGCCAGAGCGGCGCGACCTGCTCAGTCCCAGCCCGTTTGCCCCCCAGCCCCAGCCACTTGCATCCCTGGGCATAGGGAGAAGAACGTTGGCTATCCTGGGGCCAGAGGTGCCTGAGCCCACCGCGCGGGTTCGGTGCGTCCTCTCACCATCACAGTTGCCTTCGGGACCCGCATGGTAACCCGGGTCACAGTCGCGGACGCAGCGGTAGGAGCCTGGGGAGTTCTCGCAGCGCTGGGTCCCACACAGGGCTGACCCTCCTTCGCGACATTCGTCCACATCTGAGGAACGCAGCACAGACCCGGAAAGGGGTCAGTCACTGGGGGGATGCTAAAGGCCCAGGACCTGAGGGAAAAGGGGGTAGAACGGAAGCTCACCGCTGCAGGAGGTCAGGTCGGCACTGGCGCGGTACCCCGGAGGACAGGCGCACTCGAAGGAGCCATCGGTGTTGGTGCAAAGGCCTCCCTGGCACAAGCTTCCATCCCGGCACTCGTCCACGTCTAGGGGACGGGGCAGCAGGAGGAAGGAAGCGCAAGGACGAACCACCCCTGCTCTCCTGCTTTATCCCACCCAATCTTCTCCACCAACCCCTTCTGACACTGTCCCATCCCAGAGCCCTGTTCTTTAAGTGCGGTCCGCACGCTAGACCCCATCCATCCCCGTTTGCGATGCCCCGCATTCTAAATACCACCCCGCCACGTTCCAGGCTGGGTCCCTCCAAAGCCCGCTTCTGTTCTAGGGCCAGGCGTACCGATGCAGGAAGATCCGCGGGGGCCAGTCTGGTAACCCGGAGCACACGTGCAGGCGAAGGAGCCGTCGGTGTTGAGACACTCCCCGTGAGGAAAGCAGAAGTCTCCCTCCAGGCACTCGTTCACGTCTGGGGGAGGCAGCGGGGAGAGGATGAAGGCTAGGGCTGGAGAGGTCTGGGCCTTTGCCCGCCAGCCAGACACTACCCGTGTCCCCGCACACCTGCGCAAGGACCGGATCGCCCGCCTGGTGGGAGCCGGTAGCCAGGCTCGCAACTGCAACGGAAGGAACCGTCCGTGTTGGTGCAATGCCCGTGGGGCCCGCAGGGGGCGCCTGAACTGCACTCGTCCACGTCTGAAAACGAGGGACGCCTGGGTGTGAGGCTGAGGCGCTCAAAATTTGGGAGAGGAGTGGGGAGAAGGCCTACAGTACAAACTGAATGAGTGAAGGAATCTGGGGGTTTGATTCCATCCACGGTGTCGTGGGGCCTGGGCTTCCCAGATCGGGAGAGATGGAGGACGACGGGCTTGCACCTCGGTCAGAAGGTCTGGGGGTCCAGGTGAGGGATGGTGCTCCAGAACCTCCCCATCGGAGGAACGGAGAAGTGTCAGGGGCAGAGGTCTGAAGGTCTGGGGTCCAGATCACAAGGTGGGGACAGATGTTCCAGGGACGCCCCGTCGGAGGGATTGGCGGTGTATGGTCACAGGGTCCCCAGAGCAGAAGGCTAAAGGTCTGGGGTCCAGGTCACAGGCTGTGCGGGGATTGTTCAGATCTTTCCTATCAGAAGGATGGGAGGTGGGGGGAGAATGTGTTTCAGGGCCCTAAGTCAGAAGGATAAGCGCCAGGGGCCAGCTGGGTGAGCTAGGAGTGAAAAAGTCCTGGGACACCAGTCTCACCAGCACAGCGCCCCTGGAGCAATCGGTGGCCGACGGGACAAGCCCGGCACTGGAAGGACCCTGGCGAGTTGACACATTCCTGTCCCGGGCAGGCCACGTGATTTTCACATTCGTCTATGTCTGGGGGAAAGAGAACCGAGCAAGGGAAGGGCATAAGCCCCGCCCCTGGGGCGCCTAAGCCCCGCCCCTCATTCCAAGCCCTGCCCTGCCCCCTCACCCTCACAAGCCTGGCCCGCGGCGTTGAGCCGGAAGCCAGTGGGACAGGTACACAGGTACGAGCCATCCACATTCTCACAGCGTCCGTAGCTGCAGGGCGGCGGGGTTTGCTGGCATTCATCCACGTCTGCGGGATACGGGGCGGCACAGATGGGGCACAGGGCCTAGCGACTCCCCAGCCCCACCCTCAGGCACACCCTGCAGGGTCCTCCCGAGGTTGGCCACCACCCCCTTCCCTACATCATAACAAGATGACCCCTTCTTAGACCATCTAGTGCATCCCTCTCATTTTACAGATAGGGAAACTGAGGCTCAGCGGAGCAAACAGCTTTTCCCAGAATCACAACGAAGGTCAGGAACAGAGCAAGAAGTTAGAAGCCAGATAGATCCCAGACTCCCAATAAGATGCTATTCCATCTCCCAGTCTCCAATTTCAGGAATTTGCCTGAAACATACTCCATCCTCATCTCTCCCGGTGGAAATCTTTTTCTTCCTTCAAAGTGCAATTATTAAGTACATCTTGACCCTTTCCCTCCCAACCATCTTACAGATAGTAATATTGAGGCCAGTATGACAGTAATGAAGAGACTGGGCTTACAGCCAAGAAATATGGTTTTGAATACCAACTCCCATATTTACCAAGGGAAGCTTTACAAAATAGCTTGTCTTAAGCTTTACCAAGCTCTACCCTCACCGCATTATAAGGTCATTATCTACGTTTTACATATAGGGAAGCTGAGGCTCAGATATCTGAAGAGACTTGGCCAGGATTATACAGCTAAGCAAGTGTCAGGGAGCACTCTTTGGTCTCCTTTTCCCCAGGAGTTCAGAACTGGAAGGACACCTCGAGTTTCCAAGTCCATGAAGCCCCCATTTTATAGATGAAGGAACCAAGGCTGAGGCATGGGAGAGGGCTTGCTCGGCTGGCCCAGGAAATCGGGAGGTAGAGAGCTGGAATGTCAGGAGATGGGACAGGGAAGAAATGAAACGTGGAGGGATAGACAGAACACTGACTTTGCAGTCAGGAGACCTTGGGTCCAAGCCCTGCCTCTGACACCAGCTGTGTGATTCTGGGCAAGTCACATGACCAAAATGAGACTCAGTTTCCTCATCTGTAAATGAGTAAGTTGAATTAGATGACCTCTAAGTTCCCTCTGAGCTCTTAAATCTATAAGCCCCTCCACATAATAGAGGGAGAGGAAGGGGTGGGACATAGGGGTGGTGCCCTGGTGAGCAGAAGGAGCAGTGAAAAAGAACCATACCAACACATGGTGCGCCAGGCCCATGGGAGCGGTATCCAGCAGGGCAGGCGCAGTGGTAGCTTCCGGCTGTATTGTCACATCGGCCAGGCCCACAGGGAGGGGGGTCCCGGGCACACTCATCTATGTCTTCACACTCAGGGCCTTGGAAGCCAGGTGGGCAAGAACAGCGGTAAGAGCCAGGCAGATTTTCACAGTGGCCCCAGCCACAGGGCCCTGGGCTCTGGGCACATTCGTTGATGTCTGAGAAGGGAGACAGAACTGGATGTTAGGGTCCCACTTTGCCACCAGTCCACATGGACATCTAAGGAGGTCTTTCTGCCCCCCAAAGAGCCTGTGGGATTCCCCTGGCCAGCCCAAGAACTCACCCCCTGATTCTCAACTCTGAGCACACCCAGGTGGGGTCCAATCCCTCAAATATCACTCCCAGTCTTCTACTTTGTCCCTCAAGCCCAATCCTCCACCCTCCATATCCCCTTGGCCCTAAGCCTTCCTCCCGTGTTCCCTTTGCTGAGCTATGTGCTGATTCTTCTCCGCCTCCCCCCACCCCCTTACCTTGGCAGCCAGCTCCATGGGGAGCAGCCTTGTACCCAGCTGGACAAACACACAGGTAGCTACCAGGAGTGTTCTCACAACGCCCATTGGTGCAGGGCTGCTGGACACATTCATCCACATCTTCAGGCACAAGGATTTCAGGAGAGCCAGGGATCAGAAGTGAGCAGTGGATAACAATTCTAGCTTCCATGCCAGTCCTAGGCTTGTCCCTATGGGCATCCCCACATCTTCCTGCTCCTCTCCCCACCCTATGCAGACCCCCAAGATCTGTGCCTATGGGCAGAGTTGATCAGAGCAGTTGGAGGACAAAGTGTTTATCCTGTCAGATTTGGCAGAAGGAGAGGGCCAAAGACTCACCCTGACATTCAGTGCCCTGTGGACTAGCCTGGAAACCAGGAGCACAGATACAGCGGTAGCTGCCTGCTGAATTCTCACAGCGCCCATGGGCACAGGGTCGGGGTACCTGGCGGCACTCATCCACATCTGTCCCAGAGAATTGGACGGAGAGGGGGAGGTAAAGTCAGAGGGGTCAGAGGAGATGGGCCCTCCTTCCTCTAGGGTTCCCCATCCTTCCCCCTTGGGTCCCCAGTCTCACCGATGCAGTGTGTGCCATGGGTGCTGAGCCAGAAGCCCGAGTCACACACACATGTGTAACCCCCCTGGCGGGGGATACATCGCCCTGGGCCACATATCTGGGGGTTCCGCTGACACACGCCCCCTGCCACTGGGCCTGGTGGACCAGCCAATGATCAGTATGTTGCCCAGCTCTGATGCCCAGCCTCCCCTTTAATCTCTCCTGAAATACAATTTTCTCTTCTATCTCCTTCCCCACTGAATGGGCTTCTCTCTCCCCTCTCCCTTCAGATCTTCCTCATGCCTCCAGAATCCCCTCCTCTCTCTCAAGATCTTCCCTTCTAGTCCCTTCTCCATGTAGAGTTCCCATTCTAGATCACCATCATCTTCAGCTCCTTACCTCTTTCAGGGAATTCAGGAATTGGCTGGATGGGGACAGTGGGTAGGGGTTCCTCAGGCCTAGGCTGGGGCTGAGGCCGGTGTCTGGGTCTAGACTCTGGGCGGGAAGTATGTGGGTAGCTCCAGACAACTGGACAGGGAAGTAGGCAAAAGGTCAGGTCAAGATTATGGGCACTTGATGCCATCCATGCCTTCTTCTCATTTCCCAGCAGTGCCCATTGCTACCCATCTACCTCTGTCTTTGCCTGTATCAGTTCAAGGTGGATGGAGAGGCCCAAATATCTAGAGCTTACCTGTAGGGGCCCAGACTGGGGGTGCTGGGGTGACAGGTGGAGGTATCCGAGGCTGACTGATGGGTACTCGGGGTGGCTCCTGGCCCAAGGGGCGAGTGTTATATCTGAGGTCAGAGGCTGAGTAATGGTAGCCAGGTCCAGCTGGGCATATCTCCCTGAAACCCTCTGTAGGAGAGATTGGAAAAGTGGGGAATAAAAAAGTCAGGGAATAAAAAAGTGCTATAAAGACAAATTGAGACAGACAGAGAGATGCAGGTCAGTAAGACAGGGAGGCAGAGACAGTAGGACTTGTAGAGCTACTGAGCTGGGGTATGTGAGGGCAGAGTGTAGGATTTGGGGAGTGCTGCACAAACGTGTACAGAGTATGGATCCTAGGGTGTCCTGCTGGGTAAAGAGGCTCAGATAGCTGTGTGTCCAGGCTATGAGATGTGAAGGGAATTGGGATGCAGAGCTATCCAGCATGTGGAATTTGGGTGACCTGGGGGCCAGGGTACCGGGATTGAGTGTAAGATGTGTGACTGTACAGGTTAGGGCATCCCCTCAGAGTGTGGGTATTTGCAGTCAGAATAAGATAGATGGTAGAGCATTTGGAAAATGCTGTAGGTTGAGGTAACAGTTTGGGGGGGGGGGTCAGGATGTAGAATGAGGATACAGAGACCAGGATACAGAGGAATCCTGGGGCCCACCTGAGCCAAAAGGTGGGCACAGTTGGCAGCTATGGCCCCAGGCCTTGCCCACCCGACTACAGCAGCAGATTTGTTTGGTGATATTGCGTAGGATGGGCAGCGAACAGCCTCCAGCCCTGAGTACCCGAAAGCAGGGGCCCTTTGCCTCTGAGATCACATGCTGGGCTAGAGAAGAGCCGGGGGGCCAGAGGCTGTGGTCAGAGGGACAACTTTGGGAAAAGGGAGACGGAGTGGGGAGAGGCTGGGTGGAAGGGAGTGGCTTGCAGTGAGCGGGGAGAAAGGGTTTGGGAATGGGGGCGGGACTTGGGGTGAGCAGAGGTAAAAAGGGGCAAGGCTTTGGACTAGCAGAGGAGAATCCTGATACTGAGTACACAGTGGCATTCGGAGGGCGGGCTTGGGTCTGAATTGGGAAAGGTTAAGAGGGGCAGGCTGGGGCTTTGGAAAGGAGTGGGGCGGGGTTGAGGGTTCGCTTAGGGGTAGGCGGTCTTGAAGTACAAAGGCCGGCAGGGAGTAGCAGAGTATGCCAAGGTGGGGTCTCTCACAGATGCAGCTGCTCCGGGATGAATCTAGCAGGTAGCCGTCGGGGCACACGCACGTGTAGCCGCCGCGAGTGTTCGCGCACTCCCCGTGTTGGCACCGCCCTGGCTCAGCGCACTCATCCACATCTAGGAAGGGGGACAGGGAAATGGGGCCAGGCCGGCCTGGTGGAGTGGGTAGGGTCCAGTGTCCCTGCGCCCGTCCCCGTTTTCCAGGCGCTGACCAGCCCCATTCCCGAAAACCTTTTCATGACCCGCCTCGCTCGAGTGCCCCCTCACCGGCGCAGGAGCCGTTGACTCTTTCAAAGCCAGTGGGGCAGGCTGCGTCTGAGGATCCCACTCGGCCTACGCTGCCTGGGGAAACAGGAGAGGGTGTAGTTTAGCCAGGCCCCCCGCCAGAGAAACTGAGATTAGAGTCGAGGCGGGGCTGGGTGTGAACTGACCTCCCCCAGGCCTGAGGGGATGAAAAGTGAAAGGGGTGGCTTTAGTACAGATAGGATAGGAGGGAGAGGCTTAGCACCTGGCGCTTTTCAGTGTGCTCGTGCCTTCTCGGGCAGTGGGAGAGGGGAGGGAGGGGGACAGAGGGGCTCTTCCCTAATCCAGACCAGATTCCTTACTTAGGTGCTCGGAGCACGGCTGGCAGTCGTGAACTCCCCAAGCCAATCCAGCCCCTCGACAACAGACCTCGTGAGTTCGTAGCCCTGGGAGGGGGGGACGCGCACTGCAGAGGACAAAGGAAGGGGCTCAGCTCGTCCAGGAGCCAGCGCCCACCTACCCTTCGCTGGTCCCAGCTCAAGGGCTCACCTCGCCTTCGCGGAGCTGTCGGAAGCAGTACCCAAAGCCTGAGGCGTCAGTGTAACCGCCGCCCTCTTCCTCCTCACCCCGGGGGCTGCTCTGGGCCAGCACCGTGTACAAGGCGGCACGGTCCGACGGCACCCCCGAGGTCCGGGCCTGGCCCTGGCCCGTAGCCGCCGTTTCCTCGGGGCCCAATGTGGGCCCCGGGCCGCTCACACGCTCCACTTGGTGGATAATGACTGAAGCCTCCTGGGGGTGTTCCACATGCACGCTCACCAGGGAGGCCACGCCTGGGGGGTGGGGAGTAGTAGAGTGAATGCTTGTGCGGAGCTAGAACTAGGCTATAACACAGTGTGTGTGGCGGGGGGGGGGGTGTCCCACGGGAGATAGTCTAGGAGGGGAAGCCTAAGTCCCACCGGAAAGAGTAGGTCTGCGGGGACCCAAGAAAGAGAATGGGAGGGACAATGATTCTAGTCAGAAGAATGGAAAGCTAGGAAGGACTTCTAAGAAATTTCACAGATGGGAAAACTGAGACCAGTGGACTGGGAAGAGGCCACCCAAAAGCATCAATCTCGTCTTAAAATCACACAAATGAAAGCTGGGAAGAGAGCATTTAAATCTGGAAGGGACTTTGGAAATCCTTTAGTCCAAGCCCTTCACATTACTGATGAGGAAACTGAGGCCCAGAGAAGCACCCAGTATTCGAATGCAGCTCTTTTTCCATTTACATCATATCATAGATGCTTTTCATCTAGCCCTACAGATAGCTCAATTCAGGCCCAGAGAAGAATAGACCCTTGGCCAAGTCCACACCTGTCTGGAGGAGATCCAGGGTAGAAGCCAGGCCCCCTGACTCACTGCCTGGACCTGCCTCCACTGCACCCCCTCCCCAAAAGAGCCCTGTCGCTTCCCCACCCCCTCCCCAGACCCAGGAGGGCTCCTAGCTGGGGGCGTGTGTTTTCTCCCCTCCCCTCACCGTCCTCTTCCTCCCGATGGTTGGCCAGGGGCAGCGTGTACACCGACTTGGTGACCCCCGGAGGGGGAGGCGGAGGTGCCTCGTGACGTGTGCGGGAGGCAGGCAGCTGACAGAACTTGCCCGCGAAGTCCGGGGGGGCAAAGACAGCGGTCTTTCTTCACACACACACCCCCATTGTGGCACAAGAGTGGACACAAGACTAGGAAAGGATGGAAGGGGCAGGAGCAGGTCACGCGTCCCCTCCTCCCCTGCCTCACTCTGCCAGCAGAACACAGAAACCTCCTTCTCTCACTTCTCCCCTCTTTTGTCCAAGAACCCATCTTTTCTTTTCTCTCAGCTATTCTCTCTGCTCCTCAAGGAACCAGGCGTGCCTGTCCTCCATCCCTTCGGAGAAGCTGAGCGTCCGCTTCAACAGTCTCCCCCCCCCACAATCCAAATGTCCTCTTTCCTCAGCTGCTCCTCCCCCACCCCACTTTACGGCTTAGCTCTCCCCGCCAGCTGCACCCCGGGAGGGGAAGCGCGTGGTCCCCATATGGGACATCGGGCCCAGCTCCCGCACGCAGGGACATCCGGGCGTGGTGCCTCCACTGGTGAGGCCGGGTAAACAAACGCGATGGGGGGAAGGAGGGCGGCTCCACATTCCCCTGGCTTAGCATGGGGGCCTTGAGGGGTGCAACTCTATCCCCCCCACTCAAAAAGCAGGCTTTTCTGCCTCCACCTTCCTGGAACCCCACGCCCAGCTGTGCCCAGCTGCGGGCAGCTGTTTGGCGCTCCGGGGGGACCAGGGGCGGGTCCTACTCTGAGTCCTCCTCTCTACCCTTTCTACCCTGCCGGCCTCTTCCCCCACGGGAGCCCCCGAAGCCGCCAGCGGCAACAGCTGGAGACAGCTGTGGGGTGGGGCCGGGCGGGGGCCAGCCAAGCCCGGGAGTGGAGGCGGAACTCTGGGGTCCTAGGTCTCAGGGAGTGGAGGAGGCGCTAGGACTAGGAGTCTTGCTGCTGGGGTTGGTGGGGGGGAGAATCTCACAGAAAAGAGGGGGAAGGGAAGTCAGGAGTTCTCTGGGCAAGAGGGGGGACAGGACTCCAGCCAAGGTTTTGTGGGCAGAGATTTCGGTTTTGGAGATCAGAGTTGGTTTTGGTGTTGTAAGCTGGGGTCTCACAGGGGTAGGGAAGGGGGAGAGGCGGGCGCAGGGGCGGGAGGGGTCCGGTGGAAATTCTTCCCCGTTGTTCTTGGCGCCAGCAGAGCCCCGCTCCCACGGGCCAGGCCCACGCCATGGGCGGGGCGCTCCTCCGGGGTAGTGCCAATTCCTCCCTCCCCTTTGGGAGGAGTGGGGAAGGAGGGGCTGGGGGCCGAGGATGCCGGGGTCTTGGTAAGGTCAGGCCCGGCCTTGCAAGCATCCCGACTGCGCCTGCCTCCCCAGGCAAGAGGCCAGAGGATCCTGGCACCATCTCAGGGCTCAGCCCCTGGCACGAGAGCTGGCATCGTGGGCCTGAATGCCTGGCTCCCCCAGGGTCCCCCGGGCTGGGTCTGTGAGGCAGGGGCGGGGGAAAGGGGCGGGGGCCAAGCGGGAGATGAGCTCACGCCGGCCGGGTCTGGAGCGGGGCCAGGCCTGGCCTGTTCCCGGCGCCCGGGGGGCCCCCAGCTCCCTCCTCGCCGGCTGCCGCAGTCTCTGAGGCTGGGGGCCACCCCCGGGGGCAAGCGAGGAGACGGGGAGAGGCGCAAAGTTGGGGTAGAGGTCGAGGCTCAGAACAGGGGAGCTAGGCTCCCCTCTCCCTCAGTCCACAATCCGAGGTACGGCTAGACTGAGAGATGTCCCGCTGAGGGCAATTGAAGCCTGGGGGAGAAAGGGTGGCCCAGCAAGGGCAGGTGTCCAGCGTCCAGCCTGGGTTAAACCTGCCTCATCCCCTCCCCTGCCCTCCACTGAGAGGAACAGGTGGGGTGGGGAGCTAGGTATGGTTGGATTTCCTCTTAGTTTAAAGGACCCCTGTCGTCTCCCAGGAACTGTGCAGTCGTCACTCCCCTCCCCACCCGACCACCAAGGCCTTGTCTGTACACCTAGCTGGCACCTGGAGGGAGCACCTAGTTCCATCTCCTAGTCGGGAGAACCAGGCTCTCCCCCTGGGTCCCCAGGCGCTGCTTCGAAGGAGCACTTTAGTACTCCTTCAAGGCCCTCTCTGAGGTGCGCAGTCCCATTTTCACCCAGTGTCCCATAGTCTGCACCTCGAAGGGGCTCCCTGGAAGCCCTCCCTCCCCTGTGTCTTCTGGGGATGCTAGACTCTCACCTAGGAAGCACCCTTTGCCCTCCTCTCGGCTCTGGAAGGCTCCCTCCCTTTTTTGGAGGCTCAGGGCCGACCTTGAGCAGGAAAACTGACTCTCTTGTGCCCCTCCACTATGTGGCTCCCTGCCCCCTCCACGGGCATCCTGCTTCCTTTTCTGTGTAGTTCCCTGTCCCTGGCAAAGGGTGTCCGGCTCCCTCTTCTGCGCCTTTCCCCTAGGGATATCACTGATCCATCCGGGGGCACCCTTCTTCCTCCCCTGTGAGGCTCCCGGCTCCCTTCCCTGGCCCTCAGTCCCGGCCCCGTCCTTGGACTGGCACTCACAGACTCGGAAGCCTGGCCCCGCGGGTGCTGCCCCGCCAGGGGAGCCGCTCTCCACGCTCGTGGTGTTGGCGCGCACGCAGTGGGGCACGCAGCGATTCCCTGTGCAGCGTAGGCGGCACACAGCCGGGGTGAAGAGTACTCGGAGCCGTTCGCGGGGCCCGGGCCGGGCGGCTGGGCTGGGCAGCAGCGGCAGCAGCGACAGCACTAGGAACACGAGGCGCCGGGGCTGCCGGGCGCCCGCCATAGCTGCGCACTGAGCTGCCTTGCCGCCCGCCCGAGGGGCCCAAGCCCAGACAGCAGCTAGCGCTGCGCAGTGCGGGAGGGGAGGGGAGGGGAAGGGAGGGGAAGGGAGGGGAACAGAGGGGTGGGGGATGGACCGGGGAGGGGGCGGCCCCACTCGCCCCCGCCCAACCCGGCCCAGCCTGGCCCGGCCCGGCCCGGCCCAGCCCAGCCCAGCCGGGCCAACCCCCTCCTAGTTCTTTGGCAACCGCGCGGGGGCGCGTGGGGCCGGGCTCCTTGCCAACACCAATGTTTGTGTGCGACGCGGGGGAGAGCGCGGGCCTGATCACCGCCCCCCTCCCCACTCACACACTCTGCTTTCCTCAACCCATTCCCTCCCCTTCCTCCCTCCTTCCCCCTACCCCACACCCCGTCCAGGCCAAGCCCAGCCCGCTCCAGCTGCAACAAGTGGTTGGGAGGGGGGGAACAGGTGGGGGCTCTAGGGACCCCACAGGCGCTTCCTGGGGCTCACGGATAGCTGAGTAGCTGACCCAGGGGCGCACACCTGGAATCTCCCCCCTCTCCCCCATTCCGCTCCGAACCGGCCCACACAGCTGGAAAGAGGACTAAGTGCAGTGGGAAGCCAAAGTCCCGTCGGGGGCAGGCAGTAGAGGGGTACATCTGGGGTCGAGAGGACGGGGCACTGCTGGACTAAGAAGTCGGGGGAGGGACAGCGCTCTGAGGAGGGCACATCTGGGGACCGAGAGGGCTACAGCTGATGGAAGAAGCTGGCAGCAGGGAGGCACAGCTGGAGAAGATTCTGGGGCTACAGATGTTTCAAGAGGCTGAAAGCAGGGGCACTGGTGAAAGGTGGACCAGCCGGGAGGTGGAGGCAGGGTTCCCAGTTTTTCTGTCTGTGCCGCCAGGTCTCTCCTTCACACACACCCCCACTTCCTCTTCTGTTCCCCCCTGTCCCGAAATATCAGACCAGACCCTTCCACCGGCGCCGCCGCTTCATAATTCCCTTTGTTGTCTGGACTGGGGGCTCCGCCAGACGCCCCTCGCTCACTAGTCAATGGGGCCCGTTCGGGACCCCTCTTCCTTTCCCGCCTGCCTTTTCCCTTGCGAACTCGAGCGGGGCTCGGACTCCCGAGTTCTTCCCGCTGGCGACCAGGAAAGGGTTAAATGGGTGGGGGTAGGGTATGTTCCCTGGGCCGCCCGCCCCGTGGGTCAGAGGCTCTGGACATCATCTTCCCTGACAATCTCCCTCCCCCGGCACCTTACCTCCCTCCCCCACGCCCGCTGTCACGGAGCCACCCTGGGAGAGGGGCTGGATTCCAGGGACCCTAAGCTGTCGCCCTGGGGGAAGGAAAAGAGAGAGTTAAGGGGAGGGAGTGAAAAGCCTGGCCCCTAGACCCCTCTCCCCACTCCACCTCCAGCCCTGGGTCCCCTGAGGCTCGGGAAAAGAATCGCCAGAGTCCCGCAAGAGGGCACCCCAGGCCCGGGACGGCGGCGCCACCAGCACGCCCGGTCCCTTGGGGTTTCCCCCTTGGACAATGCAGGGCGTGGGAACCAGACGGCCTTATCGGCCTCGGGGGAGGAGAAAGGAGGGGCCGAAACGCTTACCGGGGGCCCGGGCAGGAGCAGCGGCCGCTCTCTCCAGCTGGCGGCTTAGCCGCAGAAGGCCCTTGTGTCCTGGCCCTCGGGGTCGGCGGCGCTGCAGCAGTGCCCGGGCCTCTTGCAGCCTGCGGAAGGGGAAGGGAGGCGGTCAGCCCGGGGCCGGGAGGGCGCCCCCTGGCTCCTCCTGGGGCAAAATGAAGAAAGAGCCACCCCACCCCACCCACGAGCTTTACCCCCTCCTCCCCATCGAGGCTAAAGCAGGCGCCCCCTGCAGGCACTGCCCGAAGGATGAGGGTACCCCGAGAGACCTGACGCAGAGACAGACTCAGAGACTAGAGAGAGAGGCAAAGAGTGACCTAGTGACCCGGAGAGAGATGCGATTGATCGGTCGAGAAGCAGATGGCACAGAGCCCTGGCAGTAGAGACTTGGAAAGAGAGGACTGAGACCTTCGGGAAATAGAGACTTGGGGATGACACAGTCAGAGATATGCAGTGGGTTAAGACAGAAAGGGAGACAGAGCAGGGGACAGAAACCCAGACACGGACCCCCAGAGGCTGAGAGACCAGGGAACCGGTGCGGGAGACTGTGACTGGAAAGGCCAACGCAGAGTCCTCATCCTACCCCTGAGAAGGGGGAAGACACAAAAATGGAGAAACTGAGAATATCATCTGGGGGAAGGGGAGCCAGAGATTTGTGGAGACATTAAAAAGACAGACACATCCAGATGAGATAGGGAGCCTGGGAGGTAGAGACTTGGGGAGAGGGGAAGGGAAGAGGGCCACTGGAACGCAAAGCTGGAGGCTTCCATCTGAGACAGAGAAAGCACGAGATACCAAGAGATGACTGAGGAAAGCTGTCTCACCGGAGAGTTTGGGAAAGAGAAACCTGGAGAGCAGAGGAGACTGAGGAAGAGACACAGGGCTGGAGAGTAAGAGTGTGTGACTGACAAAGAGACAGAGAATTCAACTCAGAGACAAGAGACACACATGGCATACAGATAGAACCATGGAGAGAGACAGAGCCTGGAAAAGGTGGAAAGGCAGTAAGAGGAGAAAGAGGCTTAGGGAGGAAAGACAGGAGAGCAAGACTGAGATTGACACTCCCATGAGATACAGATACACAGGCAGAACAACTCAGATACAGAAAGACTGGTGGGGGGAGCAAAGACACCCACAGAGAGATGCAACTCACAGAAAGGGGACCGCCCACAGGGAAGACACCAGAGACCAATATGTGGTAGAAAGGAGGGAGAAGGGGAGAAGCAAAGGGAGAGACGATGGGGGTGGTATGGAGCCACTGAGGGAGATTGTGAGTCAGAGACAGAATTAAGCCTGGAGTCGGGGGGGGGGGAGGGGGAGACAGAGACAGAGAGACAGAGAGAAGGTAGGGAGGGAGACAGAGACAGAGAGGAGGGAGGGAGGGAGAGAGAGAGAGAGAGAGAGGAGAGAGAGAGAGAGAGAGAGAGAGAGAGAGAGAGAGAGATGAGCTGGTGAAGAGTCAGAGGGATGAAGGAGAGCAGACGTAGTGATATCTATGACACTTGTAAAGAGAGAGAGCCCCGGTGAGAAGACAGACCTCACCATTTGGGGGAAAGGAAAAGATCCGAGTACTGACTCCAGGCCTTCCACAAGAAGACAGAGACACAATACAATAACATTCTAAAGCATACATCTATGGCTTGAAAAGGACCTTAAAGATAATTTAGCCTAACCCCCTCATTTTACAGATGAGGAAGTTGAGCTCCAGGAAGGTTGACTTGTCAAAATAAAAGGGCTGGGACTCGTTTGCTCCTCTGCTCTGAGTCCAGCCTCCTTTCGCAAACACCATGCAGCCTCTTGAAGAAGACAGAGATGGAGATAGAGACCCAGAGAACACCTCTAATCGGTGAACCCAGTCAGCCGAGACCCAGAGAGAGACAGCAACTCCCAAGAGACAGAGAGAACTGGGGGAATGAGAGGGTGGGGTGGGAGGGTCACTATGGGATGCAGTCCAGTAAGGAGTGAAAAATGAAACAAACGGACTATCAGAGGCAAGGGCAGCACCGACTGGGGTTAGGAAAAGAGCCCCCGGTCTGCACTCACGTCAACGGCTGCCAGGTGAGGGAGGCCTCTCTACGAGTGACTGGCACGGGGCTGGGGGTGGGGGCCGCTGTGGCCCGGGGAACCCGAACAGCTCGACAGCCGGGCCGACAGGGGCACAGCTGAGGAGCTACACACTGCTCCCCTGGTGGGCACTGCGGAGACGAACAGGGAGCTGCAGGGAAGAGACCAGGGCTATGTGAGCGAGAGCCTCTCTCCCCTCGGGCTCCGTGGGACCAGAGGTAGGAGCGTCGTCAAACCCAGCCTCCATCCACCCCGCGCCGCGCCCAGTGCCATCCCAGAGACGGAGGCAGAAGCTCAGACAGAGTGCCCCTAGCGCTCTGCCCCTGCCCACGCGACCCCCGACCGCCCCGTCCAACCTCCGCCCCAGGCGGTCACTCACCTCTAGAACAGGGGCCCGGGCGTGGAGGGCGTCCAGCGCAGCAGCGGCGGCAGGCAGCTGCAGGGCTGGAAGCAGAGGGTCGCCAGAAGGAGGAGAGGCCGAGGTCAGCTGGGCATCACCACCCACAGCTTCGGCTGCTAGCCTCCAACCTCCACCAGCTCCCCGAGGACCCCCAGACGCACTCCCTCATGCCTCCACAAGGTGGCGCCGCCCTCCCGGAGGCCCCGGCTCCGAGCTTGGGGCCAGGCTCCCGGGGCCCCCCAAACCCCCTGCGTCCCTCCTCCCCTTCCACCTCCAGGCCCTGCGCAGGCGCACCCCCTCCTCCGCAACCCTCCAAGACCGCTCCATTCTCTCCTGCAGGGGGTTACCAGACCCACGGGCTCTCAGGCCCCTAGGATGGCAAAGGGATGGAAAAGTGGGGTGGCGTGGGAGGCAGTACGGCCAGGCCTTTGGTTGCCAGTCCCAGGCCTCTGCTGCCCCCATGGAGAAGGAGCGTTGGAGGAAAAAACCTTTGGAGAAGCCCCCTCCCCCCGGGCCTGCCGGTTAACCCCTTCCCGGCCCCGCCCCCGGCGCGGCGCGGCACTGCTGAGCTCGGGTTACTAAGCGGATTCGCAGAGGCGGGAGCCGGAGCCCTGGCCCTTTGTAGCGGAGCGCGGGGGCCGATCTGGCAGGGGGGCGGGGTCGGGGAGAACCAGGCACTGCTCACTCTCTCTACCCAAAACCCGGGGATAGGGCCTGGGCTTCCACCCCGGATGGACTGAGGGCTGTCCGGAATCAAGGGTAGAGGGAGACAGGTGAGGATCTTTCCTCCCTTCTTCCTCCCTCCTTTCTAATGGGGCTGGGGGGCGCGGACTGCAGCCCGGGGCTGCCGCCACCTGGATTTCGGGGAAGAGGGGGCTCCCTGTGCACACACTGGGGGCTCTCTGTCCCTCCCTCCCCGCTTTTACGGGGACCATGGGGGGAACTGACTACAGGCTGAGGGGACGGGCTGGCACTGCCTGGGAATGGAGGGGGCGGTTGTTCTCTGTCCACCCTCGGGGGGTTCGGCGTTCCTCCCTATCCCCTTCCTTTCTTCCTCCCTTTCTACTACTTCTGGGGGCGCCGATTGCAGGCTGGGGCGGGGGGGATGTGATGGTACCACCTGGGACCCAGGGGTGGAGTTAGGAGTTAGGAGCCCCCCACCCACTACAGTCCATGTGAGACCCTCCTCCCCTTCCCTGGGGGCTGCTGTTTGAGAGTGAGAGGAAAGGGAGCGAATCAGGAAACTGAGTGGACTTACCGGGCCTGGCCCCCTGGGCGGCCCCGGCCTCTACTCCCCGGTGTCCCTGCAGCCCCGACGGCCCGGCCTGGGCGCGGCTCGCGAACCAGTAGCAGCAGCAGCAAGAGGAGGAGCAGGAGGAGGGGGCGGTGGTGGAGGCAGCAGTAGGGGCTGGGAAGTAGCATCTTGTCTTGTTCCGTGTCCCTGTCCCGTCCAGTTCCTGACTCTGGCCCCTCTGTCTCCCGCGCCCTGGTCTCCCTCCTCCTACCCCGCCCTCCCCTCCCCGCCAGCTTCACCAGACCAACTTTCCCCCCGCTGCCCGGGCTCCAACTTTGGACCAATGGGGGTGCGGCGCCGGCTGGGGGAGCCCGGATTTGACCAATAAGAGCACAGTGCCGGCTGGGGGTGCCCGGAAAGGGCCAATGAGGATGTCACCGGGGCGGGGTATCTGAGACAGGTGCCCTTGAGGACTTGGAGGAGTGAGGAAGGGGGTGCCCTGGACTGCCCACGGGTGGGTAGCAGATAATATTTCTCGTGGATCCCTTGGGGGAAGGGGTCCATGAGCCCCATCCCGCTTGGACCCCCACGTGCAGCAGGCCAGAGTAAGGAGGCAGGGGGTTAGGAAATCCCTCAGTAGGTTCCAACCTCTGGTCCCAGGCGCAGTGAAGAGGCTGGCTCTTCCAAGTCTGTTACCATGGCCATGGCCGTGTTTATTTCACATTCGGTAGTACCAAAGAGAATCCCATCTCATCCTACCCCAGACCCCCAGAGAGATTCTCGGGAAGAGAGACTCCATCCTCCCCACCTGCGACCTCAGATTCTGAAGAGATGCAAAACCCTCTGGAGCTCGGCTTTAGAGCTCCCCAGGACCCCACACGGGAATCTTGCCCCACAGGGACTGCAGAGAGAGGGATAGCCCTACTAAGCTGGGAATCCGCTTCCACGCTGATGTAGACTATGCTGGCTGGTTCTGCATTGGAGTGTTTGGGGCCAGGGCCTTCCTCCCTCCTCACTGAGTTTCAGCGTGGGAGGTGCTGGGGTCAAGGCATCTGGGGCCTGTAGGACTCCATCCATTCTATCCCCCAATAGAGTGAGGTGTTTCGACAAGCACCCAAAGACCCAGCTCCCTCCTTACCTGCTCCACCTCCCTCCACCCGGCCCCACCTTCCGAGACTAAAGTCAGTCCCCGCTCGCGGTCCCGAGGTTCCGCCCTCCGTAGGTGGGAAGGCCCCCCTCCCCTTCTTTCCAGGACCCGCCTCCCGCCACTAGTGGCACTTCCCTCAGAGAGTAGTTCCAAGCCCCATCCCTGATCCCCGGCCCCGCCCCCTCCATGCAGACCTAGTCTTCAGAAGATGTAAAGGCCCCGCCTCCAGCTCCATAGACTCTAAGGAAAACCTTAGAGGGTTTTCCCGGGCCCCGCCCCAAGTAGGTGACATCAGCTCAGAGGGTGGTGTAGACGTAGACACAGACGAGGACCAGCAGGTTGAGTGCTGTGCCTACCAGGCCCAGCAGCGCCAGCAGCCTCTCTTCCCTCTCCGGTTCCGGGGACTCGTCCATCCGCAGCCTCCCTTCCTCCTGAAGAAATCACAGGAGGAGCTGAGGAAGGGTCAGGAAGAGGGCGGGGCCCGGAAGGAAACCCCTAGATTCTTCCTCATCAGGCCGACGCTTAGGACTGTGCCCAGTGTCGCTCCCTTAGGCCCTCAGCCCCAGTCCATTCCCCCAATAGTGAAAACAGAGTCAGATATAGGAAGATACAAAACAGACAGAGAAGGACAAAGACACTAGAAACAGAGACGGAGCCTATGAAATAGAGGATACAGAGAAACAGAAAGACCTCGGAGACAGAAGACAGGACACAGAGGGAGACTCAGAAAGAAAAGCAGCTTCTCCCTGCTGCCACCCCAGCTCTTCTCTCACACACGAGTCTTCTTCTGGGGGCTGCTGAAAGCCTGAGGGTATGGACGATGCCTAAGGCCCATGGAAGCTCTCCAAAAAATCCCTGCCATTCAAGGCCCAACTCAGGTGCAACCTTCAGAAAGCCTCGAGGGATCCTTCTCTTTAGCCTCCCTTCTCTTCTTAACAGTTCTTTCCCCCTCCCTCCAGTCTAAAGCAAGGTCTTCTTCAGCTACTTTTCTATTGTAGTCCCTCTCCCCTGACCTCAACCAGGTCCTGTACTGGGAAAGGCAAGAGATCTGAGTTGGAGTTCCAGCTCAAGGCACTTCCTGTGCGTGGTTGGACGAATCACTAACTCTCAGCTCCTCTAAGCTTCTGTAAAAGGGACCATCAAATCCTTGCCTTCCCTATTTCCCAGTGCTATAAATCACTGTTTTGGTTTGCGTCTGATTGAAAGCCTCTGTCAGCCTGGGAACTATCTTAGTCCAGGCCTGTGCTTCATCTCTCACGTCCCCAGAGCCTTTCCTAGAGCCCTTTCTGCATCTGAGGAAATGTTTGTAGAATGAATGAGTGAATGAGTGTTCTCTGATATCCCCACAGCCTCAATGTTGCCCACTGATAGAGACAGAGATAAATAGAGTGCAAAGAAGGTAAAAGAGATACCTAGAGATAGCTATGCACATGAACAGAGACACGGACATGAACACAGGGTTCCTCCAAAATACACACACATGTGCATGCAAGGAGAGAAGTTGAGGTCTGCACATACACAATTACACACAGGTGCCCACAGACAGGTCCACATACAATTATTCAAGGTACACAAAGAAATGTGGAAGTGCACATATAGGAAAAAATACTCAAATCTATAAAGAGACACAAAACTAATTGAATGCATGACATAGAGGTCTACAGACACACACAATTACTCCCAGGTGCCCATGAGGGGGGGAGAGAGAGAGAGAGAGAGAGAGAGAGAGAGAGAGAGAGAGAGAGAGAGAGAGAGAGAGAGAGAGAGAGAGCACAGGGATGCCCAGAGACAGAGACAGACATATGCCAAATTGAAGGTACATACAAACATGCAGAGAGCAAGCTACACACAGAGAGATACACAAACATGGAACCCAATTACTCAAGGCACATGCAGACATACAGAAGTACATACATACAAGGGCACAGAGAGTACACAGAGACACAGGCATGCACACCCTACACAATTGTGCACACTGGTACAAATAGACATACAGAGACACATGCATAGTGACACAAAGAATACTCGCAATTACACACAAGTGCACAGAGACACACACTTGGAGAATGGGACTTGCCCCAGGAGAAGAGAGAAGAGGAAGGGAAGAGAGGGAAGGGAAGAAGAGGAGAGGGAGGGGGCGGGTCGCCTCACCAGGCGCAGCATTGGCCCCTGCTTCTCCTCGCAGCATTAGCTGGTGCCTCCTCTTCCTCCTCGGTCCCCAGATGCAGCCACCGCCAGGGCTCCCTGGAGCCTGTGGGAGGGAGGCCCCGTGAGTGCGCTCTGCTCCCAGGACTGGGGGATTGTTGTGTGTGTGTGTGTGTGTGTGTGTGTGTGTGTGTGTGTGTATGTGTGTGGTCCCCAGCCCCCCCTACCTGCTGTTTCCAGGCCAGGACTCCGGAGTCCTCTACCCTCAACCGGGCCTTCTAGCTCCTGCCCCAGTCTGCCCTGCCACCCCAGACCGTCGCCTCCTTCCCTTGTTCGGAGGTGGGGAGGGGGAGTCAGGTCAGCCTGTTCAGGCTTGGCCAAAACCCTCCAACTCCGGGCCTGAAAGCCCCGCCCCTCGGCGGCCCCGCTTTTTAAAACAGGGAGGAGTCCAACCCAACCCCACCCCCAACTCTGGGATGATTTTATTTCCCGCCCCCACCCCCCTCTCCAGGTTCTTAGCACAGGGAGGATTCTGTACCCCTGGCTCCTCCTCCTTTGAGTCATCCCAAACTGCACCCTCTGGTTGCTAAGCAACTGCATCTTCATCCTGGTCCATGGGAAGCAGAAGGGAGAAAAATGGAGTAGGGTAGTTACTGGACCCCAGTGGCCCTTCTGGATCACCCGTACCTTCTTGAATTCTCATTCTGGGATTCTAGGCTGTATTCTAGACTCGCTCGAGGTCTGGGTCACCACTTCCTGGGTTCTAGGCAGCTTGCCTGTGACATGGCAGCCCCAAAAGCTAGTGTGATCTTAGAATGCATCAAAAGGCATGCCTTCCAGGAAAAGGAATAAGGTCTGCCATCCTTTGCCCTGGCCAGACCACAGCTGAGTGCCACAATTTAGGAAGAACATCGTTAAATTGGAGAGTGCCCAGAGAACTGCAACCAGGATGGTGAAAGGTCTTGAGTCCATGCTCTGTGAAGATTGGTACAAGGAACTGGGGATGTTTAGCCTGGGAAAGAGAAGACTGGAATGTGGGGGGAGAGGAGGGATGGAGGGGGGGAGGAAGGAAAGAGAAGAGAGCTGTTTTCAAACATTTAAAGGACTAACACTTGGCAGAGAGATTAGACTCGTTCTTTTTGGTTCCAGAGGACAGAACTAGGAAACATCGAGTTTAGGTATGACGTCAGAAGAAAAAACCCAAAGACTACGAAACAACTGAAGCTGCCCACAGCTGGAATGGGCTGTCTGAGGAGGTGATGGATGGAAGGGAAGGGAGAGGAAGACCCACTGGAGGTCTTCATGTAGCAGCTAGATGACTATTGGTAGGGTGTGTCATGGTGGGAACTCTTTGTCAGATAGGGACTGGCCTAGGTGACTGATAGATAAATGGACCTTCCAACTCCAAAATTCTTTGTAGCTGATTCTGCTCGGTTCCCCTGGCCTCAGAATTCAGGGTGCCCTAGTATTCTAGAATCTCTGCATTCTAGGTCATAGAGTACTCCAAATGCACTGAAGGCTAGGGGGCTTTTGCTGTGCCCTGAGTAGTTTAAATAGCAAGTCTTGGCATTTCAAGTCCATTGTGTGATCTGAACACAGTAAGCCTTTAACAAGTGTTTAATTGAATTGAATTTCCTAGCCTTCATATTCTCATAACAGAAAGGGGGCTCCAAGGGGATATAGTCTGACCTCTACTTGCAGGCACATCCATGCCTTCAACACCCCAGACAAGTTGTCACCTAACCCCGCTCAAAGATCTCCAACACTGAGGAAATCATCACCTCCCCAGAAAGCTCACACAACTTTGGGATGGTGTCTTAGAGGGCCTAGAGGAGGAATTTCTCCTCCACTTGGACCTTGCAGAAGACATCCTTCAGGATGTGGTAAATGCTTTTCATGAGCAGACATCTCTCTGTTGTGCATGCCTGGTTAACATTAATAATTAAAGTTATATTGAATCTCCCCTTATGGTCTGCTGTGCACACGACAATGTTTTTTATTTCTTCATTTTGTATTTAAGTATAAAATTTTAAAAATTTAAAACATTGGTTTTAAATTATTGTATCAATAAATTTAATTCGTTATATCACATATAATTATATATTATATTAAACTTTTAATATTAAAAGATGGCTGGAGTTATTTCTGTAGTTTCATTTACCAAGGACTCTGATATGATCTTTTTTTTTTTTTGGTTAGGCAATGGGGTTAAGTGACTTGCCCAGGGTCACACAACTAGTAAGTGTTATGTGTCTAAGGCCAGATTTTGAACTCAGGTCCTCCTGAATCCAAGGCTGGTGCTCTATCACTGCTCCACCTAGCTGCCCCTCTGATATAATCTTAACATATGCATGACTCCTCATTGGAGGAGAACCTTTCAGGTTGCACTGTACCTTACCAGGTCAAGTTGTTGTTGTTGATTGATAAACACAGAGGAATCTTAAATTCTCTCCTCTTTTGAACCAGTAGTGCAACTTCAAAGATATGGTTTAATGTAGGAAATAGTAGGCAGCTCGGTGGTGAAGTAGAGAGACTATCAGACCTGGAGTCAGGAAGATTCACCTTTGTGAATTCAAATTCAGCCTCAGATACTTCCTAGCTGTGTGCCCCTGGGCAAGTCACTTCACCCTGTTTACCTCAGTTTCCTCATCTGTAAAATGAGCTGGAGAAGGAAATGGCAAACCACTACAGGATCTTTGCCAACAAAACCCCAAATGGGGTCACGAAGAATTGGACATGACTAAACAGCAACAAAGGAAAACAATTTACAGAAGCCTGTCTGTTTGCTTCTCATATTTTCTTCATGGATGCTTTCAATATGTCTAAAAGCATTTCTCATAAAGACTGTGAAAAGAAAATGTTTCTTGGTCTTTTGGCTAGAATCAAGTAAAGATTTTATAAGAAGAAGGAAGTAAATGTGGGAATCAGCAGCTATTGAGGAGAAGTTGCCATTTTGGGTGAAGGCACTAATATTTTTTTTGGGGGGACATCCTTTTGGTACCTTCCCTTTCCTGCGATATCTTATAATATTATGTCTCAATGCTCTCCAAGATCTTGTTTCTTCCATTATGGATTTCCTCAGTGTGCACTTGGTCTGGTCCAGCCTCTCTTCAATAGATTAATCAGCAGTTATTAAACACTAACTATATTTGAGGAATTTCCAGTTCCTTCAACTGACCCTTGAATGGATGGAAACAAGGTTCTAGGCTTATCTTTTTCTTTTGTACTAGAACTTGACATTCTGTTTTTTGGAGGTCTTATTTTATTTTTAATAGTATTTTATTATGTAAAGAAAATTTTTAGCATTCATTTTTACAAAATTTTGAGTTCCAAATTTTTCTCCCTCTCTCCTCTCCCCTCTTCCTAAAATAGTAAGCAATCTGATATAGGTTATATATGTGCAATCATGTAAAATATATATCTATATTAGTCACAGTTGTGGAAGAAGAAACAGACCAAAAGGAGGGAAAAAAAGCACAAAAAATTCGATCTGCATTCAGAGCCCATCAGTTCTTACTCAGGATGTGGATAGCGCTTTCCATCATCAGTCCTTTTATTTGTCTTGGATCATTGTATTGCTGAGAAGAGCTAAGTCATTCATAGTCAATCATTATACAATGTTGCTGTTACTGTGTACAATGTTTTTTTGGTTCTGCTCATTTCACTTTGCATCAGTTTATACAAGTCTTTCCAGGTTTTACAACTTGACATTCTAGCAAAGGGCTATGGTCAGACAAGACCTTGCTATTCTGAATGATTATGGGAAATTGTCTTTCCCAAGGGATACTTCTCTCTCTCTCTCTCTCTCTCTCTCTCTCTCTCTCTCTCTCTCTCTCTCTCTCTCTCTCTCTCTCTCTCTCTCTCTCTCTCTCTCAATAGAAAACAGCTGTTCAAACCGTTGAAACCTTATACTCTTCATGTATTTCTTGTTCACGGAATGTTCCAGTGTTTTCCAACTCCACACTGCCCTTACCTATAGAAAGAAAGACAATAAAATGTTCAGATTTGCCCCATTTTAGAAGAAGACCTGGCTATAGCCCCTCTTTGCACATCTTATGTTAGAGCTCTTCTCTTGTGAGCATAAGAAGACAAATTGTCTTGGCTCAGTAAGAATATGCAAAGTACTGAATCAATTCTCTAACAAAAGGTAAAAGGTGTTCTCCAGTCTCATGATCTTTTTCACCTTCCTGCAGACCTATCCAATTTGTCATTCTCTTGCCTGAAATGTGACTCTTGCAAATAAAGAACTCCAGATCTGAGTAGGACATCCCCTCTATTCAAATGTTAGCTGTGCCTACGTTCTAGGTGCCTTGTGTTCTAAACTGGTCTTCATCCCTTCCCCCATAATAGAAGAGAACAGACTTCACAGAATTTCAGAATCTCAGAATGGGTCTTCAGAAGGCACCTAGTCCATCTCATACTTGTGTAGAAATCTCCACAGCATCCTAGACTAGCATTCTCTTCTTGAACACCTTTAATACTAGGGAGCTCACTATATCCTGAAGCAATCCGCTCTATTCGAGCTCCAGGAAGGTCAAAAGAATGAGGACTGGTGTAGGTCTTCTTCTTAGCCCATCATGCCCCAGTGGGCAACAGGACACATGCTTCTACTCCCTCTGGCTGCCATCGAGACTGGCCCATAGAATGTTAGTGATGGGACTTGTCAGATTTGCAAAAGTCTTGACCCTTCATTGTGGTACCTTGAGAAGTAACCTATGGCCCAGCATCTACCTCCACCCCAACCTCTCACCCTCAAACTTCCAATCACAGTGAGTTCTAGACCAGAGCTATCAGGAATAAAAAGAGCTGGATTACTTTTCCTTATCTGTCCAATGAGAGGACCTCTAAGGTTTCTCAGTGCCCCATCTATGTGCCTCAGTTTCCCCATCTATAACTTGAGGAGATTGAACTTGCTCACTCATATTGAGCTTATGGTCCACTGAAACCTCCAGATCTTTTTCTTTCTCATCTTTTTTTGGAGGGGAAGCCAATTGGAGTTAAGTGATTTGCCCAGGATCACACAGTGTCTGAGTCTGGATTTGAACTCAGCTTCTCCTCTATGCTACCTAGCTGTCCCTCTCCAGATCCTGACTTCGTGATCCAACACAGTAGCTATGTCTTGCAGTACTGTGCCAACATTGCAGATCCCTGGTTCGCCCCACTGGAGCCCACATCTCCTTCTTGTCTCTAACAGCACAAAAGCCCTTTCCTACAAAGCTAGCTAAACCCTATCGTGGCATTTCCCTATCCTACAAGCTTAACTCCCATCAAAAAAGGAAATGAGGTTAGCAGCGGCATGAGCAGTTCTTGAAATGTGCTGGTTTGCTTGGTCACCACTTCCTTTTCTAGGCGTTTACCAAC